AAAAGTAACTAAAACTAAAAACTGATGTAGGATGATTAGGAATAGGGTAGTAAGAACTGTAAAACTGGCTTTCTATGGACTTTTATGATTGCTTAAAGCTGAAAATCAGTAAGAATTTTAGGATTTCAATTAATGAATAGAATGAACTAGGTTTAGGATTAATAAATCAGGTGAAAGAGATCAAAAGACGGGCTGTTCTGGCTGCTGTGAACAGTACCCGTGAACAGTGTTTTTGGACTGTGAAAAGTGCAGAAAATAAAATAGAGAAAGAAGAGAAGAAGATAGTCTAGGAATCACTCTTAGAATTCCTTAGGCATCACACTTGGGGTTTGATTGCATCACACAATCCATAAAGATACTTTAAAAGCTCAAAATATCTCTAAAATATCAAGTCTATTGAATTAGAAGCATTACATGACGTTATATAGACTTTAGAGACTTCCTGAACCAACTTGAACCAAAAAATGAAACTACTATAATATCTTAGGCTTCCAAAACTAATTTAAAGACTAAATAATAAACAAAACAAAGACTAATAAATAACTTGACCCACAAGACAACCCATGAGTGACCCACACAACCCATATTCGAAAATTTTGCATATTACCAAAATATACCTAAGCTTAAAACCCTAAAAAAACATAAATATAACTATAAAATAAGACTCCAATAATACTAGAAACATAATGATAGAAGATTTCTATTAGTTTCTCCATGAAATCATACCAATGTCCAAATATCATCACTTCTTTACATTAGCCTTCATTGAGCTTCTTATATTTTGCATCAAAACTTACCAAGCAGGACTCAAAAGGTTAAAATTATAAAAGTAGTTTAATCTGTTTCCACAAGTTTAAATAGAATGGTCCACCACACAACAACTATAATCATAATGCAACATAATTAAACAATTTTGAAATGCGTATCAATCCATCTCTAAATAATACCTATCAAATGGGGCTGGCTACATAAATCTTTCTTCTCCAATCGACTCTATCAACAGCCATTGGGTTAGTCAAATTAAGGAGATTCATATCTCTATTTACTACACTAGCCCACGTCAATCTAAGTCTGCCCCTTCCCCTAACACTTTCACCTACCGTTACTATATCACATCTCCTCACTATTGCCTCTGTTGGTCTCCGTTATATATGACCAAACCACCTCAATCTATTCTCTCTCAACTTATCTTCTATCAGTACTACTCTTAACAATTCCCAAATATACTCACTCCTAACTCTGTCTTTTTTAGTCTTGCCACACATCCACCTTAGCATTCTCTTCTCAGCAATACTCATCTTATCTACATGTTATTTCTTAGTTGCTCAACATTTTGTCTCATACAACATCGCTAGTCTAATAGCCGTTCTATAGAACTTTCATTTTAGTTTAGTGGGTACTCGTTTATTGCACAATACCCCAGATACACTCATCTACTTAAGTCACCCCATTTTAATTCTATGGACCACATCCGCTTCAATCTCCCCAGCGGTTGTGATAATTGATCCCAAATAACGAAAATGTTCACTCTTCGGTAATTCTTGTTTCTCAATTTTCACTTCTCCTCTGCTTCCATTGTTACTGTTACTAAACCTACACTCCATGTACGTCTTAGTTTTGCTTATCCTAAATCCTTTAGATTCAAATGCTTCTCTCCAAGCCTCCAACTTAGGCCTCGTTTGGGAACAAGTTTTTTTAATAATTTTTTGACTTTTTGGCTAAAATATGATGTAAAAAAAACTTGTATGTTTGGGATGACTTTTTGATTTTTTACGAAAAGATGTGCAAAAGGTAGAGAGAATAGAAACTTTGACATTTTGGCATATGTTAGCTTTTTGATTTTTTTTAGTGACTTTTTGACTTTTTGGCTAAAATCACCACTTGCCAAACGAGGCCTTAGTGTTGACTCCTTCTTTAGTCTCATCCACTAACATGATATTATCTGCAAAAAGCATACACCATGGCACATCCTGAATATTTCTCGTCAACTCATCCATAACTAAAGCAAAAAGATAAAGACTTAAAATTGATCCTTGGTATAACCCTACAGCAATTGAAAATTCACTTGTCTCTCTAGCAGCCGATCTAATAGTGGTCACCACACCTTCATACATGTCCCTAATTACATCAATGTAACATTTTGTCACCCCTTTCTTCTCTAAAACCCACCAGATTATATCCCGAGACACTCTATCAAATGCTTTCTCAAGATCGATAAAAACTATATGAATGTCTCTTTTCAATTCTCTATATTTTTCTATCACTCTCCTTAAAAGATATATGGCTTCCATTGTTGACCTACCAGTCATAAATCCAAATTAATTCTCTAACACCTCTGTTATATCTCGCAACCGACATTCCATCACTCTATCCCACATTTTCATTAAATAACACATCAGCTTGATTCCTCTATAGTTGTTGCAATTCTGTACATGTCTTTTATTCTTATAAATTGACACTAAAATACTCATCCTCTACTCTGGCATTTTCCTAATCAACAAAATCTTGCTAAATAACCTAGTCAACCAAGCAACTCCTTTCTTACCCAAACATTTTCAAGTTTCAATAGGGATATCACTGGGATCCTAAAACCTTGTTATCTTCTTAAATGCAATCTCCACTTCAAAGGAGAATTTAAATTGAATTTTATCCAACTCGTTTCAAAAGTTTACTTTTCTCATTTTCTTAAAACAATAAAGCGAATCTTCACTTCACAAAAACATCTATTCTATTATATAAAGCACACAATTCACTTCATGGGTGTATACTTTGTCACACTAAAAAGCATGAACACTTTTATAGAGAGGGCATGTCGTGTCAAACACTTCTTCAACGCGCATTAATTAAAAATGTAAATTTATAATATCATAAACTTCTTGGACACTTCAGTAACTTTTTGAACCCTCTGAATTCAACCAATGTGATGAATCTCTTCATAATAACAATGTTACATATTCTTTGGAATGCAATTTATTCACTCTAAATATGTTTTGAAACATTTATAAGATGAATACATCATGTGTATTTCTATACTCTACAACTATTTTGCATTTTTTAGATTGCAATTGTTACATAAATGATATTTTGATGTTTAAGCTATGGAATATATAGATTTTAATTTTGATTAGTGTTAGGGTATTTTTTTATTACCTTTTAATTATTAACTATTCATATATTTTGTATAAAATAAATTTATAAAAATATAAATTTTTAACGTGCTCCAAACGTGTTGTGTCCTACATTTTTTGAAAATCAACATGTCGCCGTGTCCGTCTCTGTGTGCTACTTAGTTGTCACATAATTTTGATTTCAAAAAGTAACCACGAGAATACTAGATTTTCTCAAAATATTTAGCTTTGCCTAGCAGTTATTTTAAGGAGTAAAAAGTAAAATCAACCAACAAAAATTGTAGTGTTTAATTGGACACGTTAGTGTGCGGAAGTCTTCTAGTCATGCATACATGTGAAGGAGATTGTTCAGGTATATCATAGTTGTTAAAGATGTTGTTTGTTGCAGCTAAAATGAGTTGATTATAGCTTATTTTATTTCAGGAGTCTAACTGTTTGGTGCAACTTTTGTTTATAGCTTATTAGGCAGGAATACCTTAAATAAGTAAAAAAAAAAGAAGCTAATTTTCTAAAAGTTGCGGGAGGGATACTTTTAGTTTCTGCTTTCTGATTATCAGTTTTTAACTTATAATAAGATGCACAATAAAGGCCCAAAGGCGTGCCTAAGCTTAAATCAATACATTGAGGAAATTGCCTAACTGTATGCTAGACCACATTAGTCATGCCCAAATAACGCCTTCAAGCACAAGTTTTTTATAATCATCCAATCATATTTTTATTTATATTTTTTATTTTTCAGTGGTCACCATGAAGCACGGGTACGTGTACGAGTACTAATACTGGTAGAATACGAGTACGTCGATACGGTAAAATTCAAAAAAAAATAAGATATGGGTACGGTTTGGTACGCTTGTAAAAAAATATTTATTTTTAATCTATAGTAATTCAAAAATTAATTAAATGGTTTAATTTGTTAAGGTCCAACCTACAATTAACATTTAATGCCAAAAGTAAAGGTATAAATCAAAGTTAAATGTCAATATATTAAATAACTTACAAACCATAATTTAATTTTAAAATCATGCTAAGCATAAAACAAAAAATAAAAAAGAAGTTTAGTGAAAGGAGTTTTATCTCTATAGTAGAAGAAAATATTATTTCAATTGAGGTACACTACGGTTTGGGTATATACTAGTTACGTCTAAGTACGCCAAAAATTAAGAGAAAAAAAAATTGGATATGTGTTTCGTGTACCTGGTACGTATGCAGAAGTATCGTACGAGGTACCATATGCTGGTACCCGGTACGGGTACGGCATGTTTTTCGAAGTAGCCATGCTTCATAGGTGGTAACTAATTGATATGCCTTGCATTACATTCATGGTCATAGACATAGATACTATTGTTTAATTGTTTTGGGCATTTTGTATTCAAGATTGAGGAGTATATGGTCTACTATTTGAAATAAATACCACTAATACATCATTTTTAGTGTTATATATTCCTTCTTTGAAGTTACAAGCAGATTTTTTTATTTACAAAATTTGCAGTGGGCATTTGATTACTTGGTACATATACCAATTGAAAAAAAACTTTCATGTATATTTTACAAATTGCAAATTGCTTTCAATCACAGTCCTCACATCATTCAAGTACTCTAGAAATGATATCCAAACAGTGCCCAAATAAGCAACACAGATAGATGAATAAATCATCAATAAACAGTTCATATATAATTAGGATTCGCTAAACAAACCCCCAAAACAATCAGGAATCATCGACAGAATACTCAATCATAAACACCGCAAAAATAACGACATGATAAGCCCTAGAAGAGACGATATTGAAACACTGGCGAAGATTCGCACAAGCCAATATGAGAGTGTATAATTCATGAATATACAGAAGACCCATATATATATACCTACCTGATATATATATATATATAGGTAATCTTGAATCTTGAGAGGGATGTAGTTGCCGTAGAAGAAAGAAAGCTGTGACTGACAGAAGAGTGTTTTTCAAGCTTTTTTTTTTCTGAAACAAACAAGGCCCAAATGGCACGGAGCATCTGGAAACCATCCATAACCATCCATTTTTATACGCAACAACTCGTGTTTTTATTTATTTATTTATTTATTTTTGACAAAACTATTTTGCATTTTTAAAAAAATAGAACAAGTTTTTTTTATATTGAAAGCGTATTACAAAACACTCTTATCATTTTATTACAGTTTGCTTTGAACACAAATGGTGATTTTACTTATACCACTATTTTATCTTTCTATACATTTTGTATGATTTTTTTTTTTTTAATTTTATTCATGTGTGAAATTATCTTTAAAGACAAAACACTAAAATTAAATATATTTTGTTATCGCTTTACACTCATTAGTCTTTAATCCTTACTTCTCTTTTTTCTTTCTTAATTTTTCTTTTCTCTTACGCATCTCTTTTGAAAAAGTGAGAATCATAATATTTTGATCATTAAAGAAAGCAATGGATGAAGAAACAGTGGTAAATAACCATCAAAAAAGTGAACTTGTGAGTTTTTTTATTTATTTGGTAGGATATATATATATATATAGGTAATCTTGAATCTTGAGAGGGATGTAGTTGCCGTAGAAGAAAGAAAGCTGTGACTGACAGAAGAGTGTTTTTCAAGCTTTTTTTTTTCTGAAACAAACAAGGCCCAAATGGCACGGAGCATCTGGAAACCATCCATAACCATCCATTTTTATACGCAACAACTCGTGTTTTTATTTATTTATTTATTTATTTTTGACAAAACTATTTTGCATTTTTAAAAAAATAGAACAAGTTTTTTTTATATTGAAAGCGTATTACAAAACACTCTTATCATTTTATTACAGTTTGCTTTGAACACAAATGGTGATTTTACTTATACCACTATTTTATCTTTTTATACATTTTGTATGATTTTTTTTTTTTTAATTTTATCCATGTGTGAAATTATCTTTAAGGACAAAACACTAAAATTAAATATATTTTGTTATCTCTTTACACCCATTAGTCTTTAATCCCTACTTCTCTTTTTTTTTTTCTTAATTTTTCTTTTCTCTTACGCATCTCTTTTGAAAAAGTGAGAATCATAATATTTTGATCATTAAAGAAAGCAATGAATGAAGAAACAGTGGTAAATAACCATCAAAAAAGTGAACTTGTGAGTTTTTTTATTTATTTGGTAGGTTTTTGTTTCGTTTTGCTAGACTGGTGTTCGACTTTCGTTCGGTGATTCGAAATCGAACAAAATAAAATAGGTTGGCATCACATTATTGAACAAAAAATATTAATCCGGCTACCAACTACCGAATAAAAGATACATTTCTGGTAACCCCAAATTGAATTTTTTTAATTTATTCGGTTTCTCATTACCATGTATATTCAGTTTCTTTTTTTTTTCGTTTTTTTTTTTTTTGCCTGGAAGGATTATACTTATATTTATTGCAACAACGCAATGACTGAAATATTAGTGGACTAGTCATGAATTCATTATAAACGAAATTTGTTAAGTTTTTTTTTTATGAATATGTTTTTTATTTTTAACTTGTATTGAGTTTTATTAATAATTTGATGTATAAATATATTTATTATTTTTAGATTTTTAGTAGTCGTAAATCATTAATTAAATGGGCTTTTGACGTTGGAAAGAAGACTGGATTTGTCATTGTTATAAAGACATCAGATGTGGGAGGCAATGGCAGAAAATCAAGACTTACACTTGCTTGTAAAAGGAGTAGTTACTATAAAGACAACAGGAAGATCAAGGGGGAACGATTGAGGTTGACAAATTCTAAAAAGTGTGATGTCTATTTCTATTAAGGGAGGAAAAATTACCTACAAATTACCAAGATGAATTGTAATAACATGTTTGATTGATGGATGCAAATAATAACAGATTTTATAGATACTTTATGGATATTCGTACAGTTGATGTTTTTATGGATACTTTTTATATACGATTCTATGGATGCATGTTTGATTTATGAATTTTTTTATGAATGTTTCAAGGGAAAAGTACATTTTTTAATGTACAGCGACGGGATCCTACACAACTCTATTGTAGTTTGGCAATATGACACTGGAGTAATCTCATTTATATAACAATGTATCACTGAACAGACACTTCACAAGTGGCCCAAATTAATTTATTGTTATCATCTAATTAGATGGCAACATAATGCTGGAAAAAATATATTATCATGTAACATGACACTGGAGTAATTCAAATTAATTAGCGTTGTATTACCGAACAGGCCCACCACAAATTAAAAAATTATTGTTTGGAAAAAAGTGGCTCTGTAAATGTATAGCAACAAAATGCTGAAAAGATTTATTTTTTCCGGCAGCATAACATTAGAATAGTATAAATTGTTTAGTACCGTGTTACCAAAATTAGTGGTATAAAGAGATGAAATAGTTAATTTAGGGTTAGTTTTGATAATATATTGTGGATGTAATGAGAATTATATTTTTTTAGTGATGTAATGAGATGAAGGGTGTAAAGAGGTTAAATAGTGGTGTAAGCAGAATCATCTCTGGACAAAACACACTTTCCTATAACTATTTTTCTATACCACTTTATCCTCTTGAACTAAACATGGGATCTAAAAATCCTGTTGTGTCTTTGGACATAGTAGGCTATTGTGCTCTCTTGTGGAATGTCGTTCCGAGCTTTTTTTCAATAATCTGAACCGTTCATATTGTAGGATTCGTCGAGTAGATTATCCTTGCAAAAAATCAAGTTAATTGGATATCTGGAGCCCTATAACCAAAGCACATTTGTTTTTATAAAAATTAACGGTTAACATAATTTCCATAAATTGTTAAAAACAATTAAGACCTAATCATGGGGTTATGAATATCTGATTAACTTGATTTTTTACATAAATAATATTATTAATGAACTCTACAATATGTACGGTTCATATTATCAAAAAAACATTCGGGACGAACTTTCACAAAGGGGGCACAACAAACTTCCACAGCATCCCCGACACTAAACATTGTAACATTTAGCCCTCCTTTTGTATGAAATTTTTTAGCCTACCTTTTTGGCTACTTGGTTATTTTAGTCTGACAAAAACTTATGATAGTGATGATTTTTAATATTTTTTTTCCAATTCATTTGATGATTGTGAGAGAAAAAATGATATGATTATGATTTGGACGCGATATTTTATTTTATTGATTATTTTAGTTTTTTTTTACTTCATTAGCTATTTTGACCAAAAAATTGCATCCCAAATAAGGCCTTCGGCCTCGTTTTGGAATTTCAATATTATAGTTGACTTTTTGACTTTTTAATTATTTTATGAGACGAAAAGAATTGTGTTTGAAATGATTTAATCTCCTTCATCTATTATTATTATTTTTAAATTTGGACCTTAATAACAAATGTACCTTAATATTTTTTTCAATTTGGACCTTAACAACAAAAATATCCTTCAACTGTAGAGGTAAATTAGACTTTTCGTTTGGAAAAAGACTATTTGTCATGAAAAAAAAAAAAAAAAATCAACTTGTAAAAAAGAGTCAAATATTTCTTTCCATTCCCTTAACTTTTTACACTTTTTTTTGAAAAAATTCCTTCCCAAACATTTTAATTTGTTTTTTTCATCTTATATTTAAAAATTAAAAGAAAAAAATTCAAAAAGCCTTTAAAAAAATCACCTTTTAAATGGGCCCTCTATCAATCTAGCCCTCAGTGTCAGTTTTCAAATGAAAGAAATTTACTGAAGACAAAAAAATATAAAAAATATAAAACTCAGAGATGGTTTTTTAAAACTAATCAAAACGGACTGATAATATATATCAGAAAAATGCACATCGGTGTGCCTATATGGTTACAAAAGTGTACACCAAAGGAGTTCCCTAGTAATGAGCTTCAAATTTGACAATTAGTTACAACTCCATAAGCTCAACAGCTGAGTGTTTACAATGTATCAGTTTCAGTAATGCTCAATCCATTTTGAATTATTTGTAGCAACTCACCCAAGGCACAAGAAATTACAAGGGGATAAAAACAACCTTTATTTCCATCTACAAACATAATACAGAACATCGTTCCAAAAATAATTTAGAAAAATATATAAACACAAAAAAACAAAAACAAAAAAACATAATGGGAGAAAAAAAAGAATTGAGATCTAACTTGTACATAAATAACACTGCATCACAACCCCAATATCCTCGCACGATGAAATGAAAAGAAATGAAGAAAACACAATCCTAAAGGTCTGCTGCTCAATCACTTGCTCCAATTTTGAAATGCAATAACTATGGTCGATGATATACGTACTTTGTTCTGGGATCCACAATTACGCCCTTCCCTCCATTCACTTCCAAATCATGCCTGCATATTAACACAAATATATTGAAAACTTGGAATTAAAAATGATTCCCATTTCCTTCATCGTCACTGCTGAGCAAAATTGTTGTCCTAATAACAATGCAACCAACGGTTAAGTTCTGATCACAAAAATCAGTCTTCTAGCAAGGCCAAGCAACCGACTAGGACAACACCAAAAATAACAAGGTTAACCCTAATAATTATGGCTACTATAGCACCCAACCATCTCCGGGGAGCCCCAAATCAGAATTTTAAAAATTAAATAAAAAGGAGAATAAGAAGCACAGAAAACTCAACTGAAACACAAAGTCAGGGATGGTCAGCTGCTCTCGAGGAACATATCTGAATAGCTGCAAAAGCCTATCAACATATACCACTTTTTTCCACACCTACAGGATTCCCCAAAATTGAATAAGCTCACTGAAAGAGGAGTAACTAGGTTCATGCTCCAATCATCAATTAATGAGGGGTCAACATACCACACTATCTACAAACATTTGCAGAGCTAAAATTGCAGCCTTCAGTCCAAATGTCGGGTGAAGAACATATATTGCCTACATTGCAAACAGGGAGATTAAACTTTAGAAAGCAGAAATGCAATTTTTTTTTATTGGATTAAAAAAAAAAACTTACATGAAGGTTACGTTGGTGTTTGCGACCAAGTATCTGTTGTAATCTCCTCATCCATCCAAGGTCTGGTTGCCTATTTACTCCAAGAAGCAAAAATCAAAAGGTGAGGGTGTTTGGCAAAGGTTTTTTTTGGCTTTTTGGGCTAAAATCCACAAAATGACAAAATAGGCTAAAATAGTCAATAAGACAAAATGTCACATCAAACCATAATCATTTCATTTTTTCTCTCACAAACATCATATCCAACTACAAAAAAATCTAACTATTTTTCCAAACACAAAAATTTTAACCTACTAAAATAGCAACTTCCCAAACACCCACTAAGGCTAAAAGCTCCACTAATGCACTTCACTTGCGACTTGTTGCCATCTTTCAAAGATATGGCACTTTAAGAATAAACTAATATTTGGCATGTGCCAGAATTCATTATCTTCAGGAGTCTTAGTTATCTAATTTAGCCCACAGTTTAAGGAGATGCTACTGCATTAATAAACATAAAATAAAATTAAATATTTCTCTAGCACCTTACATCACAGAAGCCATGTGTTTCCTAGCACATATGCCATAAAACAAACCCAACCCTCTTTAACTTCCGTTTTATAGTAAGAAGCAGCAAATTTTATTTATAAAACTTACTGATTCACATAATGCTATTAGAGAATCATTTGAATTGCACAGTACTTCACATTGATTGGTCGGAGAATAACATGTGTTTTACCTGAAGCAACTGTGACGTGGAAGTCAACAAGAACTACAAAAGAAATACACACTACTTACATCTGTAAAGATGCCGCAGAGTGGAAGTAAACAATGGTATAAGGCTTCTGTATCAAGGGCTCAAACTCCTGAAATTTAAAAATGAGAACAATTTACCCAACTTCTAACTGGCAATACTAAAGAATTGAGTATATGAACCACCGGAGTCAATAATCCACCACAGTTCAAGAACAAATGCAAAACAAAGAGTAACATGGAGGTTCCGATGCCAAAGATCACTCCAAAATTTGTTAAAATAAATTCAGCTGCAAACTGTGCCAATTGAAGCAGGAGAGAGTCCCTTTACCTTTACTACATAGAGCACAAATCGCTCCAGATCAAGACATCGCAGCAAAAAATGTGCTCCTACAACAACCATCACTGGACGACCATCACTATCAACCCCCCCACGGTAACTGAAACAGAAATAAAGTGCTATATAAATTCTTGCTGTCCTTGTGCAATGCATTTAGTTTGGCTGAAACAAATGCTTGAAAAATTGCAAGGACTTCCGCAGGACAAGGGCTCTACACTAATATTTTCCAAGATTACCCTTCATCTTTTGTTACTTTATAATTTCAATCAAATAACTTTGCAAGACTCAAAATAAAGAGACCTCAATATGCATCTGGACTATTTTATTATAGCCAAACATCAAGTGGAATTGCTAGAATTTAGGTAATATAAGTAACCCTTTCAAACAACTTAACAATCTAATCATTACCACACAAACTTTTTTCCATGTTGCCATTAGTCAAACATAAATAGGTTTTGGAAAAAAAAAATTCTGCGATATTAATAATTACAATAGAAGAATGTGGCATGTTATATCAAAGAAAAAACTACTAATATAATCCCAAAGTATTAAAGAAGTAGATTAGAAGATATCTAATCAATTCAATAAGATGTACAGAACATTTCTAAAAACAAAATTAAATGCCCTAAAAATATGTGCATGTCTTTTTTCTGAAAATTTATATATTTATAAGCAAGTTTTTTTGTCACCAAAAAACTAAATATTTGATAATTCCAATAATTAACAATCTTACAAGCTATGAAGCACGGACATGGACATGGACACGCATACGGACACGGACACGGACACGAGATACGGCAATTTCTAAAAAACACGGACACGGACACGGACACGGACACGGACACGGACAAGGCAGGGGACACGACAAATTTTTTAATTTTTTTATAAATATTTTTAGTTTAATACACATTAATTATTTTATTTATTTATTATATTTTTTAAATAATGTGTTCCAATTAATTTTTTTATTTTATTTACATACATGTGTTTATTTTTTATTATTATTAATATGTATAAGTATATATTATCTTATAAATATATTATATGTTATATAATAACTATTATATAATATATAATAATAGTTATGATATAATAGTTAAACCCTAACTCAGATAAAACGACAGAAGCGAGGGAGAAAGAGAAGGCGAGAGAGAGAGAGAGAGACAGATCGTGATCGTCTGGGGTGTTCGATTGTCCGATCGTCTAATAGAGCTTCAATCTTCGACTGGATTGACTGGATGGCGCTTCGACTAGAGGTCTTTGATCTTCGATCTTCGACTGGATGGAGCTTTCGACTAGATCGGCTGGATGGAGCTTTGATCAAACATGATATCGCGCAACAGGTTAGTCTCTTCACTCTCTTCCTTCACACTCTCTCTCCTTTGTCTCTCCCTCCTTGTCGTGTCTCACGCCGTGTCTAGATCTGGACACGCGTGTCCCCTACAAGAAAAACAATTAAATTAAAGGGACATGGCAGATGGCGTGTCCCGTACGTGTCCCCGGCGTGTCCGACACCGCCACGGCACTGATTTTTCCGTGTCCATGCTTCATAGCTTACAAGTGGTCTATTACTACCGCAAAAATGACAACCAACATGTGCTTACACTATTTTCATTTCTGCAATTTCAGAAAGGTTAACAGAATTTGCTTTAGCAAGATATCTAGAATGAAGCGAGTATTCTTCAGCAGCAGACAATGGAGGTCCCCCAAGGTCACCATATCCAAGTATTTTAGCACAATTCCATCCACTCCGTGCTTGAGCAGTTTTTTCCCATTGTTCCTTGCGTCGTTGATCTGGATCCTTAATCAGGGACATGAAAGCAGGATCTATATATGAATCCAAATATGATGAGTTCCTGTTCAGAACAATCTTCCAGTAAGTTCAGTTAGTGGAAAAAGAACAATAAATTTTGCAGAGAGAGAGAGAGAGGGAACAATGGGGCACAAAAGATATGCAAGCATATGGAAACCTCACAATTACATAAACATCAAGTTGTTTGACAAGGAAGTGATCAGTACATTTAGTCACACTTTTCTTGCTTTAGTGATAAAAATTGTTTTGAACTTCCCTAAAAAATGCAAATCAAAAATGAAAAGAAAACACTACTAATCAAAAAAGGGAAAGGGAAAGTCTGTTGAGTAATACTACACAATTTTGTAGTACGGCGAGGAGCAATGGCTTGTAAGTCCAACATTAATCTGGACAATGTTACACCTGACTTCCCTATCGCCGACATGTAGATGTAGAAGGGAATAATAAAATAAACCCTGCACCCCACATTTATTGGAATGGTACCTCAACAAGAATGGTATCCAAGATTATCAGCACAACTATATTTAGACCGTACAATTATATCATACCAGTACCACAGTCGTCTCCAAATTGCAATCCTTTGAACCACCAAAGTATTCAGCATGAGTGAAATCCATGCAACTGAAAGTGTTGCAAAGAAGTGAGCCACCCCCACCCGAAGAGGGCTGGTACACATTGCAAACACACAGACACAAAATAAAGCAAATTAATGATGCCAAAATCTTCAAAAAGCAGAATCAACACCTGGATAGATATTGTCATTTATCCAAGAAAATTAATGAACGGAAAAATTAGCCCACTTTTGCCCCAAAGTCAAGGAAACATCACCGCATAATTTCTTAAAACTAAAAATTAGTAGAATTAATCGCATACTCCTCGAAACAAAACAAAAAAAAAATGAGGCGGTTAGCAATTATATCGATCTTTAATAGATCTATTGGAAGAGCTCAAGGCAGAAGTTTTCCCTGACATTCAAGGAAAAATTACCAATAACAATCTCCCCTTTTTTTGAATAAAACTATTGGTTGGGAGAATTTGTTGATTCTCATCAGAAGGGGAAAAGCAGCAAATGCAGAAATAATCCCTTGCAAACTAAATGTAACTCTGATACCCTTTTTATTTCCCAAGACATTGCACACTCTATAGTGGGAAAAAAAGAGAGTGATATTTGCCATCAAACAACCTTTAAAAGATCAGTGGGAAGTCTTAATGAAATTAATACAGCACATCATTGTGCAGCCTAGGCAACCCACATTTAGAGCTAGAATGACCTTAGTCTCTCCCATTTTCAGTCTCCCTTCATCCAAACACTACAAACAAATTTATCATGGTGAACCCATCACCCCATCTTGTTCATTGTCCGTGCAAGTTCCTTTCTTGAGACTTCATATTTCAGACCTCTCATTAGTCATCTCAATCTCTTGACCAAATGACCTCTTCCCAAATGTCGCAAGATCACCAGAAGCCTATAAATGTTTTGTGTGACGGGTATACAGTCAGTCTCAACCTAGGTGGGCAACTCATTAAGACTACATCAATTTTAAAAATGACAACAAGAAGGGCAAAGCAAATCCAAATCGTTAAACGGACTGTGTGACTTTTCAAAAATGCTAACACTAACTCTAGTCAACTCAACAAATCTCAAGTTGCAAGCAGATGTGATTGGCTACACGGTCCATCTAGGGCCATATATCTAATTCTCACCACCAAGACTCATATTCTTTTTGGCCTTGTCACATTTCCGAATAGGGGATAAAAATTGTCAAGACTGGCGCCATTGGTTTAGTGGTTAAAACTCGGCCTACTAACCATGGGGTTGTGGGCTCGAACTTCGGAGCATTGCACCACGAACTCTTCAAAATAAATCAAATACCCGTGTCGGACACCCGACACTCGGACAAGGGTATGGAATATATGCCGGACACTTTTCATCGAACACTTCTTATACAATTGTATTTAACACTATTATTATATGTACATATTGTTGTATAATTGCTATAAATGTATTTTTGACACTGTAACACTATTTTATCTCACGCACTTGATTAAAAATATAAAAATATGACATCTTTTTGCCGAGTCTGCGTACCCTTGAATTTATGGTTTGATGAGTCCGACCTCTAGATTCATACCCACACTCGACACTCATACCCGAGTCCATGTAACATGGCTTTAGAGCAACCATTTTGTGCAAATTATGCAAAAGGTTAGGTTTGTATCCAATCTATCGCTCCCAAACCCCTATGCAATGGGCGCTAAACTAGGTGTACTTAGTAGGGGATAAAAATTGTAATATTAACAAACTACTCACATTGTAACACAATACTCAACAATGAGATCATGATTCACTAATAAACCAACAGCCATAACTTTTAAACATAAAGAACAAAATGTGTTACAAATCAGACAGAGATTATGCTGAATGACAATTGACAAGCAAACCAATTCAGCTTAATAATGACTATTCCAAATTTCCAATATCTACGCAAAATCAAGCAATCTTTATTCATCACTGAAAAAAATAAATAAAACAGAAGAGAGATTAAACTTTTTTCACTGACCGTCTCGTCAAGCCAACATCACTAACAGGAAGATCCATTGATGCTTGAAGCGGTTTAGAGACGGTCTTTTTCACATCAGGCAAAGGCTTTATTCTGATTTTTCGTTCATCTATAGCTGTTTCGCCATTTTCATCCCCAACATCTGCAGGAAGCTTTGCCATAGCTACTTCCTCTTCAAGTTTATCCCGAGGAAAATAAAGCGGAAGCAATCTGCATTTTGAAATACGAGGGAATTGAGTTACAACATATATAGTAATTAACAACAAACAAAATTATATCATTCTAATGCCATTAGCCCTAGAAAGGTCTCATATCAACTTACAAAAAAGTAAGACACCTGCATTGCCTTAGTTAATACAAACAAACAGAAAAATAACATACCGTTTATATATCTCGGTATCAGATGACGTTGTAGTACAAAAAACAACAGCCTTTATTTTATGTTTCTGTTTCTCAAGAAACCGTCGCACAGTTCCTAAAAACAGAGATAATTTTGATGATAGGGATTGAAAGAAGAAACACTCAAACTTCCAAATAAAAATTTCAAAAACAAAATATCTACTGCCATACGTAAAGGTACAAGTCATACATGCATAGATCATCTACACTTTACAGATGCATACAATGAACATAACATGCACATGATGTAGATGTCAACAAAAAGAATAATAGCTATTGAAATATTTTTCACAATGGCATGCATGAATGAGCACGCATTCATGCTACCAGACCAAAGTAAAGAATTGTAATAGCACATAGGAAAGTATCTCACTTATTGCCACGTGAGCAGCAGGTTCACGAGGATAATTTTTTGTCTCGGTGTATATACATCCCATAGCAATGCTGCATTGACAGATGTTATAAGATAGTAAATTTAGTTTGACAAAAATGAAACCAAAGAGATAAACAGAGATAAAATAAAGAAAAGGATGTGGCAGAGGTGGTAGGCTGTCAACCAACAAACCTTTGAAGCCCATTATCAATGAGAAGTTCAAGGCAAGACCGATAGCAATGACTCAAAGCATTTTCTGCAGCAGTATGATATTTTACTGCATACTTGGGACCCACAGTATGAATAACCCTCCTAAAAAATAGAAATGTAATTCCGTAATTAAGTCAAAGATTTTGTATATCAAAATATCACGAATCAAGTTCATTGTTTTCCATCAGTACTTATAAACAGAGCACATGAATAGTGGTTGATGTCACATCATCAAGGATGATAAAGTGATCAGTTCAGCATGAAAATTTCAAAATAAGAAACATGCCCCAGGTACAACCTAAAAAATCTCACATTCAACTAACTCTTGTTAGCATAAGGCCAAAGGCTATATTAACTATGACATCATGCAGTGAAAACATGTGCATGCTGAATGATTTGGGATGGCAAATTGGCGAGTAACAGGTCCCAGTTTCAAATGATCATACGAATTAATGTCTCTTTACTAGGACCATGCAAGGAACAGGCTAAAAGGGTACACAATTCTAGCTTCTTCAATATAATAAAAGCAACTCTTGCAAACAAGAAACCCTCACGACATAAAACAGGATGGCTCCTCTGCCTCATTTATAAAGACAAAGCAAAAAATAACAGAGACATGCTAATCCACTTATTCAAATTCAAAAAACAAACCATGTACATGGTGCAAAAAGGACCAAACAAGATTCCCAAAAATAATCTAATACAAAGTCAATTTGGTTTGTAAACAACCACCAGTATGCAGGATGATCTCTAAGACACCATACAACATGGTAAAAGACAGAGGGCAAGTCTGATAAACTCAAGAAACAAAAGAACAATAGCAACTTTCCATGGTTGAATATGAAATTCCTGGTTCCCTAAGCACAATGATAAGTAAAACAGAGTGCAGGAGTGACCATTTAGAATAATACTCTGATGCAGGAGTGACCATTTAGAATAATACTCCAATGCATTACTGCTTTTCTCCATAATTAATGTAAATATGAAAATGAAGTTGCATAAATTACAAGTAAACTACCTGGAAGAGATAAACCATGGACTCACCTTGCAGGAAGGTCATATGCATTAGTAACTTTCGCCATCCCTGTTCGACAGCCACCCTATGAAGAAACAAAGTACACCAAACCAATCCATTTCAGCTCTGGACATTTTTTATTAAGTATTTTCATTATGTTCCATCTTTAATACTTACCACAATAGCTTGATCCAACTTGCTTCATTTCAGATTTTTTAAGAAGCATTTAAAAAAATTCTCACTTAACAACACTAGAATGTTTGACCTAAGACACAGGGAAACTTCAAAGAAAGTTGTGTGTCATGTTGGACACCAACATGACATGGCATTCATCAGCCATTTCTTGACACTTGTTGGACACACTTCCAATCCTGTCCTACTATTTTAAAAAAAATTGCTAAACTTGGACACACTTTAGACTCTTGGAGAACATGTGTCTATCATTCTAGACACACATGAAACACATTACAAGTTTAAATAAAATAACTTAGAATCCAAATAATATAAATTATATTAAATTAAATTTATACATATTCTCCTCCTTTAGACTTTATAAATTAGTATTATATTCTTTTTTATCAGAATCTTACGATTTCGCGATTCAATTCGCTATTCCTACATAGATTAATACAAATCTATGAGTCAAAATTGTACAATTTGCAATTCAATTCATGATTCAGTTCACAATTCAAGCATAGATCAATTCAAATCTATGGGCTAATCTATTTTAGGATAGAATCTATGAAGCAAGGATACTTCTAAAAGAGGGTCGTATTTGTATCTTACCGATATCAGATACTGATACTCAGATACTAGTTGATACATACCTGATATGTATCCTTGATGTCAATTTGATAACTATTGGATACTTTTCAGAAACACTAGTTCAAGTACCAAACTATTATGAAATTGAAATTGTAATAATTTATGCATCTTATTAGAATATAATTGTAAGATTTCTGAAAGTTTTTCTGTATATTCAGGCCTCGTTTGGGAACAGGCTAATTTAGTAACTTTTTGGCTATTTGGCTAAAATATGAGCTAAAAAAAACTAGTATGTTTGACATGACTTTTTGGCTTTTTGGCTTTTTACGAAAAGATGTGCAAAAAGTAAAGAGAAAAGAAAATCTTTGACTTTTTGGTATGGGTTGTTGGCTTTTTGGCTAATTTAGTAACTTTTTGACTTTTTGGCTAAGAGGGAGGGTTCCCAAACGAGGCCTTGTGTATCAATTACATCAAGACTAGTTTATATAACCCTAACGACTAACCAAAAAGGAAATACAAGAATGGGACCAAAAAAGGAAATACCAAAAAAGGAAATACAATCATCACTAACATGCCTAATATATACAATGCCTAATATATACGAATATATTCTCAAACCCCCACTTAAACTCAAGGTGTCTTAGCTGAAAACACGGAGAGTTTGTCAAGAAGAAACCGAAAACGAGCAGTGGTGTGAATCTTGGTGAAGAAGTCAGCAAGCTGTAGAGCCAAAGGGACAAAAGGAAGCGAGGTAGAACCAGACTGGAGGTGCTGACGGATGAAGTGACAATCAATCTCAATGTGCTTCGTTCGTTCATAGAAAACAGTGTTGTGGGCAATCTGAATAGCACTTCGGTTGTCATAGTAGAGAGAGGTCGGAGAGGACTGAGGAACACCTAAGTCAAAGAGGAGACAACGAAGCCAGACAACCTCAACAGTAGCATGAGCCATAGCACAGTACTCAGCTTCGGCAGTAGAACGGACAACAACGGTTTGTTTCTTGCTTTTCCAAGAAATCAAGGAATCACCAAGAAACAGACAGAAACCAGAAGTGGACTTACGATCAGTCACATCACCCGCCTAATCAGCATCAGCATAAGCCACCAAAGCCAAGGAAGAAGTAGAAGACAACAACAAGCCTTGAAAGATAGTACCTCGAAGAGAGCGAAGAATCCCAACCAAAGCAGCTCAATGCGGAGAGCGGGGAGCAGAAACGAATTGGCTAACCACATGAACAGTATAGACAAGATCAAGGCGAGTAACTGTCAAATAGACTAAGCAGCCCACAAGCTCGCAATACAAAGTAGGAACATCCAGGAGGACACCATCAGTAGTGTTAAGCTTCACATTAAGCTCAATGGGGGTATCAGAAATCTTAGTGTCAGTAAGACGGGCACAGTGAAGAACCTCATTAGCATATTTGGCCTGAGACAGAAAGTAGCCCTTGGGAGAAGAAGCAACTTCTGTAAGAAATAATGTATAGAGAAAGAGAGAGAGAATAAATTGTATGTATTATTGATTAATATATAGATATGTTACAATGATTCCTATATATAGAAGAGTAGGTGGTAGTAGGTGGTAGGTGGAGTAGGTGAAGTGGAGGTGGTAGTGGTATAGTGGGTTAGGTTTAGTGGAGTAGGTGAAGTGGAGGTGATAGTGGTGTAGTGGGTTAGGTTTAGTGGAGTAGGTGAGGTGGTAGTGGTGTAGTGGGTGGATTTTAACAGCCCCCGCAAACTCAAGGGGGATAGGAACTAACCAACTTGAGTTTGGAGAGAGTAACAAAACAAGAAAATACATAAAAATAAAAGAGGATAAGAGACACTGTATGGTCGTGTCAGACCATTGGTGAAGACACTGGATGGTGGTGTCATAATGTTGTAGAGGACACTGTATGGGGGTGTCATAACCATGTAGAGGACACTGTATGGTGGTGTCATAACGTTGTAGAGGACACTGTATGGGGGTGTCATAAGTGGTGACAGTTTACGGAGTCTTGCTGGACCCTTGTAGAAACTAACCGGAATCAATGCGGGACAGTTTACAGAGTCTTGTCGGACCCATGAAGGAGCTAACCGGAATCAATGTCGAAATCAAGGAATCACCAAGAAACAGACAGAACCCAAAAGTGGACTTACGATCAGTCACATCACCAGCCCAATCAGCATCAGCATAAGCCACCAAAGCCAAGGAAGAAGTAGAAGACAACAACAAGCCTTTGAAGATAGTACCTCGAAGATAGCGAAGAATCCGAACCAAAGCAGCTCAATACAAAGAGCGAGGAGCAGAACGAACTGGCTAATCACATGAACAGCATAGACAAGATCAAGGCGAGTAACTGTCAGATAGACTAAGCAGCCCACAAGCTCACGATACAAAGTAGGAACATCCAGGGGGACACCAACAGTAGTGTTAAGCTTCACATTAAGCTCAATGGGGATATCAGAAATCTTAGTGTCAGTAAGACGGGCACAGTGAAGAACCTCATTAGCATATTTGGCCTGAGACAGAAAGTAGCCCTTGGGAGAAGAAGCAACTTCAATTCTAAGAAAATACCGCAATGGTCCCAGATCCTTCATTTCGAAGGTGTGGAAGAGATGTTACTTGACCTCAGAGATAGCAGAAGAGTCAGAGCCAGTGATGATCATATCATCCACATAGAGGAGGAGAGCAACAAAACCAGCCGAGGTATGTCTCGAAAACAAAACAGAGTCGGAAGCAGAAGGATGAAACCCAAGCTCGGAAACAACGGTCTGAAAACGATCATACCAAGCACAAGGAGACTGCTTTAGACCATATAGAGCACACCGAAGGTGACAAACCTGTCCAAAAGAATGGTGAAGGCCAGGAGGAGGACGCATGTAAACCTCCTCAGTGAGATGGCCATTAAGAAAAGCATTCTTAACATCCATCTGATAAAGAGGCCAACCTTTGAAGCCCATTATCAATGAGAAGTTCAAGGCAAGACCGATAGCAATGACTCAAAGCATTTTCTGCAGCAGTATGATATTTTACTGCATACTTGGGACCCACAGTATGAATAACCCTCCTAAAAAATAGAAATGTAATTCCGTAATTAAGTCAAAGATTTTGTATATCAAAATATCACGAATCAAGTTCATTGTTTTCCATCAGTACTTATAAACAGAGCACATGAATAGTGGTTGATGTCACATCATCAAGGATGATAAAGTGATCAGTTCAGCATGAAAATTTCAAAATAAGAAACATGCCCCAGGTACAACCTAAAAAATCTCACATTCAACTAACTCTTGTTAGCATAAGGCCAAAGGCTATATTAACTATGACATCATGCAGTGAAAACATGTGCATGCTGAATGATTTGGGATGGCAAATTGGCGAGTAACAGGTCCCAGTTTCAAATGATCATACGAATTAATGTCTCTTTACTAGGACCATGCAAGGAACAGGCTAAAAGGGTACACAATTCTAGCTTCTTCAATATAATAAAAGCAACTCTTGCAAACAAGAAACCCTCGCGACATAAAACAGGATGGCTCCTCTGCCGAGCCTCATTTATAAAGACAAAGCAAAAAATAACAGAGACATGCTAATCCACTGATTCAAATTCAAAAAACAAACCATGTACATGGTGCAAAAAGGACCAAACAAGATTCCCAAAAATAATCTAATACAAAGTCAATTTGGTTTGTAAACAACCACCAGTATGCAGGATGATCTCTAAGACACCATACAACATGGTAAAAGACAGAGGGCAAGTCTGATAAACTCAAGAAACAAAAGAACAATAGCAACTTTCCATGGTTGAATATGAAATTCCTGGTTCCCTAAGCACAATGATAAGTAAAACAGAGTGCAGGAGTGACCATTTAGAATAATACTCTGATGCAGGAGTGACCATTTAGAATAATACTCCAATGCATTACTGCTTTTCTCCATAATTAATGTAAATATGAAAATGAAGTTGCATAAATTACAAGTAAACTACCTGGAAGAGATAAACCATGGACTCACCTTGCAGGAAGGTCATATGCATTAGTAACTTTCGCCATCCCTGTTCGACAGCCACCCTATGAAGAAACAAAGTACACCAAACCAATCCATTTCAGCTCTGGACATTTTTTATTAAGTATTTTCATTATGTTCCATCTTTAATACTTACCACAATAGCTTGATCCAACTTGCTTCATTTCAGATTTTTTAAAAAGCATTTAAAAAAATTCTCACTTAACAACACTAGAATGTTTGACCTAAGACACACGGAAACTTCAAAGAAAGTTGTGTGTCATGTTGGACACCAACATGACATGGCATTCATCAGCCATTTCTTGACACTTGTTGGACTTACTTCCAATCCTGTCCTACTATTTTAAAAAAAATTGCTAAACTTGGACACACTTTAGACTCTTGGAGAACATGTGTCTATCATTCTAGACACACATGAAACACATTACAAGTTTAAATAAAATAACTTAGAATCCAAATAATATAAATTATATTAAATTAAATTTATACATATTCTCCTCCTTTAGACTTTATAAATTAGTATTATATTCTTTTTTATCAGAATCTTACGATTTCGCGATTCAATTCGCTATTCCTACATAGATTAATACAAATCTATGAGTCAAAATTGTACAATTTGCAATTCAATTCATGATTCAGTTCACAATTCAAGCATAGATCAATTCAAATCTATGGGCTAATCTATTTTGGGATAGAATCTATGAAGCAAGGATGCTTCTAAAAGAGGGTCGTATTTGTATCTTACCCATATCAGATACTGATACTCAGATACTAGTTGATACATACCCGATATGTATCCTTGATGTTTATTTGATAACTATTGGATACTTTTCAGACACTCTAGTTCAAGTACCAAACTATTATGAAATTGAAATTGTAATAATTTATGCATCTTATTAGAATATAATTGTAAGATTTCTAAAAGCTTTTCTGTATATTCAACTTGTGTATCAATTACATCAAGACTAGTTTATATAACCCTAACGACTAACCAAAAAGGAAATACAAGAATGGGACCAAAAAAGGAAATACAATCATCACTAACATGCCCAATATATACAATGCCTAATATATACGAATATATTCTTACACCCCCACTCAAACTCAAGGTGTTTTAGTTGAAAACACGGAGAGTTTGTCAAGAAGAAACCGAAAACGAGCAGTGGTGTGAGTCTTGGTGAAGAAGTCAGCAAGCTGTAGAGCCAAAGGGACAAAAGGAAGCGAGATAGAATCAGACTGGAGGTGCTGACGGATGAAGTGACAATCAATCTTAATGTGCTTCGTTCGTTCATAGAAAACAGTGTTGTGGGTAATATGAATAGCACTTCGGTTGTCACAGTAGAGAGAGGTCGGAGAGGACTGAGGAACACCTAAGTCAAAGAGGAGACAACGAAGCCAAACAACCTCAGCAGTAGCATGAGCCATAGCACGGTACTCAATTTCGGCAGTAGAACGGACAATAACGGTTTGTTTCTTGCTTTTCCAAGAAACAGACAGAAACCAGAAGTGGACTTACGATCAGTCACATCACCAGCCCAATCAGCATCAGCATAAGCCACCAAAGCCAAGGAAGAAGTAGAAGACAACAACAAGCCTTTGAAGATAGTACCTCGAAGATAGCGAAGAATCCGAACCAAAGCAGCTCAATACAAAGAGCGAGGAGCAGAACGAACTGGCTAATCACATGAACAGCATAGACAAGATCAAGGCGAGTAACTGTCAGATAGACTAAGCAGCCCACAAGCTCACGATACAAAGTAGGAACATCCAGGGGGACACCAACAGTAGTGTTAAGCTTCACATTAAGCTCAATGGGGATATCAGAAATCTTAGTGTCAGTAAGACGGGCACGGTGAAGAACCTCATTAGCATATTTGGCCTGAGACAGAAAGTAGCTCTTGGGAGAAGAAGCAACTTCAATTCTAAGAAAATACCACAATGGTCCCAGATCCTTAATTTCGAAAGTGTGGAAGAGATGTTGCTTGACCTCAGAGATAGCAGAAGAGTCAGAGTCAGAGCCAGAGCCAGTGATGATCATATCATCCACATAGAGGAGGAGAGCAACAAAACCAGCCGAGGTATGTCTCGAAAACAAAACAGAGTCGGAAGCAAAAGGATGAAACCCAAGCTCGGAAACAACAGTCTGAAAATGATCATACCAAGCACGAGGAGACTGTTTTAGACCATATAGAGCACACCGAAGGCAACAAACCTATCCAGAGGAATGGTGAAGGCCAGGAGGACACATGTAAACCTCCTCAGTGAGATAGCCATTAAGAAAAGCATTCTTAACATCCATCTGATAAAGAGGCCAAAAATGAACAGCAGCGACAGAGATCAAAGTACAGACAGTAGTCATCTTGGCAACAAGAACGAATGTCTCCTCATGATCAATACCATACTCCTGTGAGAAACCTTTGGCAACCAGACGAGCTTTGTAGCGCTCAAGAGAACCATCAGAACGAGTCTTGACTTTGTAGACCCATTTGCAACCAACCAGATTCTTACTAGCAGGCAAAGAAACCAACTCCCAAGTACGAGTTTTCTGTAAAGCAGACAACTCATCTTCCATAGCTTAAACCCAATGAGAATCCTAACAGGCCTCCTTGTAAGACTGAGGTTCTGAAAAAAAGAGAATAGCAGACAAAAAAATACGATAGGAAGCAGAAAAACATGTATTAGACAAACCCAACCTATTTGGAGAATGACGCTCACGAGGAGGATAGCGGTGTGCAACAGGATCAGAGCCATCAGAAGCAGAAGAAGCAACAATAGGAGTAGAGACAACTGGTGGTGAGGGAGCCTTGCGATGAGAATAGACCAACAACGGAAGGGAAGAAGCAGCCGAAGGAGAAGGAGCCATAGGTGACGTAGATGGAGAAGTAGGAATGACCTCAGGAGGAACAGTGGCGATATACTCATCTGATGGGACCTCAGAAGGAAATGGGTCGATGTGAACCAAATCCTCTTTAGAAACGGGGGCAGTGAGAGGGGGAAGCTAAAAGTAAAACAGACGTGCGAGAAAGGCAACATGACGGGAGATATAGAGGCGACGAGAGATAGGGTCGTAACAACGGTAGCCTTTCTAAGTAAGACTGTAGCCCAAAAAGACACACAAGACAGACCGGGCACTAAGTTTGGTCCGATCCTTATGGGGAAGGAAGACAAAACAGACGGATCCAAACACACGAAAAAGGGAATAGTTAAGAATTTGGGAGAACAAAGCCTCATAAGGAGACCGACCAGAAAGAAGGGGAGTAGGCATGTAGTTGAGAAGAAAAACAGCAGTAAGAACTGCCTCCCCCCAGAATAGAGCCGGAACTGAAACAGAGAGAAGAAGAGACCTAGCTGTCTCAAGGAGATGACGGTGTTTACGCTCGGCTCGACCATTTTGGGCAGGTGTATCTATACAAGAAGTTTGATGAATGGTACACAAATTGGCCAAATACTCACAAAACTCATTTTCAAAATATTCCCCACCCAAGTCAGACCGTAAAACTTTAATGGTAGACCCAAACTGAGTAGTAATTATAGACTGAAAGGTACGGTATATCTGATAAAAATCAGACTTATGAGTCATAAGATAAACCCAAGTGTAACGGGTGCAATCATCAACAAATGACACATAGTATGCAGAACCTCCCTTGGTGAGAACAGGAGAAGGGCCCCAGATATCAGTATGAACTAAAGAAAACGGTGTAGCAGATATAGAAGTACTGTTACGGAAAGGTAAGGCTGTCATTTTGGCAAGTTTACACCCTTGACATTCAGTAAGTTCACTGGGAGAAACTTAACCTAATATACCTGACTGAGCTAAAGACCGTAAGCGGTCAGCAGACAAACGTCCTAATCTAAAATGCCATAAATAGAAAGGATTGTACAGAGAATCTAACTGAAAAGAGGAAAAAGCAGTTGAAGAAGTTGTCATAGGTAGATGCAAGCTCTCCACCACATAGGTCTCCAACTCTGCGGCCAGTCCCAATCTGCTGCTTAGACATCCGATCTTGCACAGAACAGATAAAAGAAGAAAGATAATATCAAACCCGGAGGCATCAAGCTGATTGACAGATAATAAACTGACAGATAACTGAGGAACATAAAGGACAGATGGAATAGAAACAGCAAACATAGCAGACGATAAGACAGACCCAACAGATATAACAGACATACTAGACCCATTAGCAGCATTAACAGTAATAGGTAAGGGAGGGGGAATATAATTTTGAAGTAAGGAGAGATGAGGAGTCATATGATGAGAAGCACCTGAGTCAAAAAGCCAAACAGACGAAGAGATACCTGAAGAAGACCCAAGCAAACCTGAATAAAGCGAGGAAACAACCGAAGCAGACGAAGAGGACCGGGATGTAGACAGTATTTACTGAAGTTGACTAATCTGAGCCCTGAAGGAAGCCAAGTCAGGATCAAGAGTCGGAGCAGATGCAGTGGTACTGACGGAGGGACGAAAAGTACTCAAAAGAAGAGCTTGGGATTGGATTTGAGACTGTTGAGAAGACGTGGCAGGCAGACGTCCCTTCTTGAGACAGTGGTACGTCCAATGACCCCTCTGATGGCAGAAGGCACACTCATCTGAAGCCAGTGAACTATTTTCGGGCCTAGCAATCTTATCATCCGGCATTGTAATGAACCACCAAGAGAAGAAAATTGATGGGGCAGATTATAATAAACAGAAAACTTTGGGGATTTTGGTGTAATAAATTTGAAATAGGATTGATTGGGGCAGATTATAATAAATAGAAAATTTTGGGGGTTTTGGTGTAATAAATCTGAAATAGGGTGTCAAGCGTAATACCCAGGCAGAGTTTGATAACAGTGATGAGAACCACCGAATCAAATTGAGAACCAGAGAGAGACGAATGAGGTCGAAGTTGAGAGAGAGCATGAATAAACACAGAGAGAGAAACAGGGGTTAGGAAGGAGCTTCGAAGCTTCAATACGGATAGATGAGCATTAGATCGAACCAAGTGAGCCACGAATCAAATGAATCAACCCCAGACGAACCAGACGATCAATGAAGCAAGGAGCTTCGACGGACAACCAAGTCTGAGAGAAATAGAGAGATCGCGAACCAGATTGAGCCAATGAGAAGACTCGCGACTGACGATCGATGAAGCAAAGAGCTTCGATCAACAACCACGTCTGAGAGAAGAAAAGAGATCGATGGCGCTAGGGTTTCTCAACCTTACTCTAATACCATGTAAGATTTCTGCAAGCTTTTCTATATATTCAACTTGTGTATCAATTACATCAAGACTAGTTTATATAACCCTAACGACTAACCAAAAACGAAATACAAGAATGGGACCAAAAAAGGAAATACAGTCATCACTAACATGCCTAATATATACAATACCTAATATATACGAATATATTCTCACAATAATTGTTAGAAAAAATAATATTTTCTTATTTCTTAACCGAATAAGAAAAAAGTGAAATTTAAGTAGTGCTCTACTTTTTCAACTTTTATCAAATTAACATATCCATTGAAAAAAGTTAAATTGACTAATAGCTCTTAAACTAATATCCTAAGAAGCACGAACACTTCTAAGAAAGTGATGTATTCGTGTCTCCGTGTCGGACACCGACATTCTTGGGACACTTACCAAACACGTGTTCGACACTCTTTAAAACATGTTGTATTTTTTAATTTTTTTTAAAGACCCGTACACTCTCTGAACACTTGGAGGACACACATGTCTATCACTTAAACACAAGATTAGACACAAGTGAAACTAATTATAAGTTTAAATAAAACAACTGAAAATACAATAATAAAACAAAAATCATATAAATTTATAGGAATTAGTGTCACATTACATTTTTTTTATTATCTTTGAATGATATATTCATACATATAACATACAATAAATATATAAAATTATATATTCCATGTGTCCCTCATGTGTCATGTCTTGCATTTTTTTGAAAATTAGAGTGTCGGTGTGTCCGTGTTGTATCTATGTCATGTCACCTGTCCGTTTCCATGCTTCTTAGCTAATATCTAATTTCTAAATATTGGTTTCTCACTATTCTTTGAGCTCATGTATAATATTATACCAAAAATTATATATATATTTTTTAATGTATTATAGTCATACCTGTATATTCTAATTTATTTTATTTTTTTAAAAAAAAATTGTCGTATCGTGGTATCTGAATAATATTGTGTTCCATTTTCATATCCACACTTCATACGATAGAATCAATGGTGAACTGCACAATTTACAATTTGATTCACTTTTTACAATTCATGCAATTTTCAAAACTATCATGTCCAATAGATTCGACCCTTTTACCTATTTTTTTTAGTGAAATGATATTATACAACATCTAAGAGTGTTCAATACGAAAAAAATACATATGCATGGATTGTTATTTTTTATAATGATCAAAGGGTTTTTAATAATAGGATCCAATCAGATCATGTCAAACCCAATATGTTCATAACATTTTTTCCTTAAAAAATAAACATCATAATACATCTTCTATGAATGTTTTATCTATGGCCATTTTAGTGAAATAATTATAAATCCAATATTACATTGGTCATATCAGTTAAACCCAATGGTTCCACAATTTTTATTTATTTTTAATCTTTTTTTAACAAAAAACATACACACATTTTAAAGTGTTCTAGATTTTAAATTAAAGGACTCCATATAATTATTTCTCAAGGATCCTACTTAATTTTCTCTTAATATTATACTCTATATAAGATTCCTAGGTCCATTTTTTAAATATCAAGAGAAATTATATTGTGGTTTTTGAATACTTTTATGGTTAGCGGAATTTGGACTCACATCTCTTGCAATAAAGGCAATGTCTTCCCAGACAGTATAATCATCTCCTTATATAAGAACTATTTTATAACATATGTCAAAATCAATTTATTTTGTTTTTTTTCATATATAAGATTAACATCATTAATTTTTTTATTTTATTTTATAGTTTATACTAAATCTTAACGATTCTCGATTTGATTCACGAATCGTAAATTTAAGATTTCGATTCACAATATATGTTTCTTGATTTAACAACTATAGTTACACTACATTTTATTATTATGTTGGAATGAAATATTCATATTTATGTCAATTGCTTATCGTTATATATGACAAATAATATATATAGTTATATATTTTAAGCATATCCCTTATGTGTCGTGTCCTATATTTTTTTAAATTTTTTAGTGTCGGTGTGTCCAATCTTTGCAAGAACGACTATCTTTTTAACCATATTTTAAAATCATGTATCCACATACATATGCGAAATCATTAAGTTCTCAAGTTTAATGCAAAATATGCATCTGCATTATGCAACAAAGAAAGAAATCTAGAGTAAGGGAAAAAAATGAGTAAAAGTGTCTTCTGATATATAAATAACATACCAGTGTTGCACAGTCTTCTGCAAGACCAGGCCCAGCTGCAGCATGCAAACCAGGGCTGCTGTGTGCTTCATCCAGGTTCTGTCAACCACCCAATAGAAAAATAACTCAGAACAAAATAAATACATTCGTTTGTCAGTGATCTAAGCCCAACATGCTTAATGTGATGATGAACTAAAGGATGCTTTGCAGTCTGTTGTGATGGAAAGAAATAGAACTGGTCCTAAGGTGCATTACTGCATTTAATGGGCCCTAAGTTGCAGTTAGCTAAATAGATTATGATTTATTTCAACAAATTCAGAATTCTGAACTGAATAAATATGTCAATATTGCATGATTTTGGGTGGCACAATTTTCCAGAGAAACTCTGAACTGCATTATTTGGTAAAAGTACATCACTGACAAATATGATGAACGGGCTACTTAACCATCATAAAATCCAATTTGAAAAGCGGGCACATTTTTGTAATTTCTTTGGAAGAAACTTTAAAATAACACCCTGGTAGATTTAATTTAAACCATTTTTGTGTTTTTTGGATAACTGATTTAAACCTAGCCGACCCCACTTGATTGGAACACAAAGCTTAGTTTAGTTTTGTTTGGTTTGGTTTGGATAACTATTTAAACCAATGTTTTGGGTCTCTAAGGCCTTTACTTCAACTAACAATACACGATCAACTCTGTCACCACTTTCAAATTTGATACATCAAAATAACATAAAGAAAAAGTACCCATTCCATGCTTGGGCCGCAAATTCGAACATCGGAGACAGCTGAAGAGAACTCTCACTTATTTTGCATGCAAGATGTGTTTAAGAAGAAAGTTCAAAACTTTGGAGGTGCAGATAAGCTATATAATTATTCATGATTCCAAGGTCCAAGACAAACAATTAGAAAGGTGAGCTTTATAAGCTTAGTCAACATATAGAACCTATGAAACAAAACCTCAAAATGTTGCATTCATGCTTCTATCATTTATCCAAATTCAGTAAAACAAGTGGTCTCATGTTTACCTTATTTTATTTTTACAAGTTTAAGAAATATCAATAAAGAGGCACTGAGGGGGTGCAACCCTTTTATAGCACAGTCAAACAAGTCAAAATGCCCACGCGACACACACATGCAAAAGTAGGCATTTAAGGCGTCAGTTTCTAAAAATAAACATATATCTTTTATCGCACAACTAACACTGCTTTAGAAAATAATTACAGCTCACCTCATTTGTGGAGTTAACAACAGCATCCACCTCAAGATTCCAAGGGTACCCCCTCCACAGATAAATCTTGGAATTAATTTCATGATCCACAGGAAACCTGGGCACCATCCCATTTCCACTAGTCTCTGCCCCTGAGGAAGAAGTTAAAGGGTCCGGAAAGTATGAATTTGGGAAAGCATGATCTTCATTCTCATATGAAAACCTGTATTCAGCATCACTCCAACGTGGAACTTGGTCAAGTGTCACCACAGAATCCCCACTATCGGTTGGTAATCCACCCCGAGTAGTGGTGGCAGCCACAGGCCGATACATCTTTCTTAGCCAACTCCTCCCAACCAAAGCTTCACTTCCCTTAACAATCCCACAATCACATGTATTCCTTCAAACCCTCACACTCACAGCCCAAGTTTCAGAAACATACTACTGAAACTTCAACACTCCTGCAAAATATACATTAAAATAAAGAAGCTAATGAATTACAGCTTCCACATACAGGAAAAAAAACTCCAGAAACAGTCAAAATAAAAGCAAATACAAAACCAGGATCATAATTTCAATCAAATTAGATAAACTAAAGCAAGCTTAATTTCCTCGAATCAATCAAGACGATGTTGAAACCATAATTTTGCATGATCATCTCGAATTTACCAATCAAAAAATCAATTAACATTGTGAATTGACCAATACAACATCATATGAAAATATACCCCCTCAAGTACATACATACATGGTATATATACATACATAATATGTGTAAATATGCATATACGAACCCTAATTTGAAGATTTAATCGAAAGCTTGCGGATTTTCGACGTACAGATATCTAAACGAGAAATTAAGGAGAGAGAGAGAGAGAGAGAGAGAGAGAGAGAGAGAGAGATGTACCTGTCTGTAGGGTGTGAAGCGGCAAATGTAAAGGCAAATGATTTTGGAGACGACAAAGACAATAATTAGCTGGACCTGATGAGTATGAGCTTGCGAGAATCCTCCTCATTTGCCCAGAATTGAATACGACACATTAATATTTCAATTTTTATTTTACTTTTTTTTTTTTGTCTTTTTCTGTGGTTTTGACACGTGCCTCTGTCTTGCCATGTCGGACCCGTGTCAACTAACTGCGACGTTTAGGCCTCTGTCGGAACTAAGGGGTTGTTCGGAGTGTACTTTTTAACTTTTTATAAAATATGGGTTGGGTTTGAAGTGATGTGATAGAGAAGTGATATGACTTAAATAGGATAGTGACTTTTTGACTTTTTGAATTTTTTTGAGAATGTCAAACTTGGCCTAAATATTTTAGATAAAAAATAAAAAAAAAAATCATCATATATGTTTAAAAAAATTATAAGATGTTGCATTACTTTCTTTATTTTTTTACACAACTTTTATAAAAAATTAAAATGTTATTAAAATACTTTATTTCCAAATGAGACCTTAGATAAACCAGGATGAATTTTTCACACCATGTTTGGGAAGTGGGCTGATGAGCTTTTTTTAATTAAAATGTCAATAAAGACAAAATATGTTTAAATAGTCAATAAGATAAAATATCACATCTAAATTATAATTATTTCACTTTTTCTTTCACAATCATCAAATTAACTACTGTTGGAAAATAATGAATTTTTGGTGACTTTAATGCAATATTAAAGTGAGTGTCAATCCTCAATTGAAGTGAAGTAAAGTAGGTTTAGATTCTTTATAGTGAGATCTTTGTACTACAAAAAGAATGACTAAAAACTATTAAGGTTTGTATGAGGAATTGACTCATTAAGTTGGCCTCATGAAAAATGTGTTGGGAAAGGTATAAAACCTTTATCCCACATTGATTAGAGAAGAGCATTGATGAGTATTTAAATATTATTTTTTGCATAAGGGTAAGCCCTTTGGGGCATTCAAATTTTTCGAAGCAAGGGAGTTATGAATGTTTTAAGGATGGACTTGGGCCAAGACTATGGTCCAAGTTGGTTATGCAAAAATTGCCACACGCATGTGCGCTGCCTGGTCGGACCGAACCGAACCGGGTCCTGGTTTGTGATCCTTGGGTCATGGATCTTGGAACTTGGATCTTGAGGCTTGCTGAAATTGATTGAGTGTGGGGGTCGGGCTTGGCCCACCTATCTTAATCTTTTTAGGCCAAGCCAGATCTGTGGACTGCAGATATATATACACAAAATCTAGGTGTATAATAGAGCTGGTAACTCCTCTATTCAAGATGGATTTAATTCATCAATTTTGCAGATTAATACAGAATTGATTTCTGCATTTGTGATAGGCCTTGATGGTTGTTGCCTTTTCATCTCTCCCTCTATGTGTATAAAAGAAGACCTTTCTCCTTCATTTTGTTGACCCAGAAAATTTGCTTCTCTTTGTCTTCCAAAGTTTTCTGCAATTTTTACATTCTCCCTATGAGAGAGTGCTTCAAAGTTTTGTTCGCTGAAGCTATTCAGTTGGTGCATTGCTATAGCTGGTCCAATTGTTGTATCCTAGGAGACAGATGTCGAACAATCTCCAGCACCTAACCGTTGAGACGACAAATCTGTTTTAAGGACACTGTTTAGTGCAGGTTTTAGTTTGCCTTCTGTTACTATTTTATTTTATGTATTTCTGTTCTTCTACTTGTAATTTCTAGCATGATGTTGTAATTTATAATTGCAAATATAAAATATAAATTTATTTGTTCCATGTGATCCCACAATTTATAGAACAACTACTCCCTTCATCCCAAACTGTTAGTTCCTTTTGAGGAATCTTTTTTTTTTTTTTGATAGTACAATTATTATATTTTAAAAATATTAACTTTTCAAAATTACCCTTTAATAGTACAATTGTTACACTTCAAAAATATTAATGTTAATAATTTTAAAAGAAAAGCAAAATAAGAAATTCATATTATTTTAGTCATTGATTTTTGAAAATAGACTAATATTTTGGAATAATGAAAAATAGAATAAGAGAATAATATTTTGAGACCGAGGATAAAAAAAAAAAAGTCAACTATCATCCAAAACACAATTTTTTTAGCCAGATTAGGTACATTTAGATTAGCTATATTTAAAAATTAGCAAAATTTGACTAATATATGAAAAAAACAAAAATTCATTAAAAAATGAAAACACAAAATGTACTTAAATTTGAAAACTAGGTAATTGCATTCAAAAGGTAAGTAAAAAGCTTAATTTTTTTTTTCAAATTTAGATTTAAACTTAAATTGGAGAAAACTTGAAGAGCCAGTAGGGTCCACTATGAGTGTTGTTTTAATTATTTGAATTGTTCATTTTATAAAGAGTAATATTAAGGACCTTTAAATAAAAAATTAAAAAAAAATCATTAAATGTTTCATGAAGATTTTTTACATTTGGATTACATATATAATAAAACACCACACACTAATTAAAAGATGAAAAATCTTCATGAAGTATTTCATGATATTTTTTCATAATTCTTAATATTATTTTTTTTACATAAACATCCCACAGCGATAGTCTCCGCCACCGCCTTTGTTACCCATACTCACACCATTGCCATCACAACAAACACTACTACTAATATACTACACCACTACCATAATTTTGCCAATAGAATCACATCTCTACCGTTGCTTCTCTTACCAGCACTACAAGCTTTCACTTTCTCCACTATCATTCTTCACCACAACCACTATTGCTGTCCTGGTCATCACACCATCACAACTACCAGCGCCAACACTATTTTACTTCCACTATGTCATGCTTACACTGCAACCACTATTTCTCCACCTCACCATTTCATCATTGGCGCACCAATTTTATCACACCACCACAATACAAAAATGTATATATCAAATAATTTATTTTTGTTCAACAATTAAAATTTTATAAAATAATTTTTCATCTTAAAAATTTAATATTAAGTTTTCAGTACTTAATTTTTCATCTTTAATTTTCAATTCATTTTTTATTTAATTTTTAACATCAAATTTACATCATATAAAATATAAAATAATTTTTTAATTTGTTATATAAATAAATTTATAAGTTGGGCTTTGGGCATTGTTTTCAAGCTTGATCACATTTATAAACATGCCTAAAAAAATTACCGTATATCCTATTTAAATTAATACTCGATGTTTTAATAATTTATTTCAAATAATAAAATTGTGTGCTCCCGATTTGGGACTAAAGTGATAAATTAATAATTTTCATAAGATTATAAGATAATACATTTCAAATATTTCCTTTATATTTTATAGGTACCAAATATTTTATAAATTAATAATTAGCTAAAAAATACATAATACATTTCATCTGTGATGGTCCTTTCTTGACACCTTTGAGAGGAGAAGCCATTTTTTCTATTTTTGAACTAAAGATACAATAAATAATGAGGGATTGTGTCGAGTGAAATATGTTGGTATTTTCCCATAAGAATAATAGAAAAATAAATTAATAGACGCGACAAAATAATTTTTTATTTATTTATTAAAGAATGAAATACAAAACAAACTCCAAAACTAAAAATGCAGGAATGAATTTGATTACATCATGGAACTTGCATAAACAAAATCACTAATAGAAAAAATTAGTAATGAGGATAAATAAAGATTAGAACTTGTCGAGGTAAAATTAATTCTGAAAAATTAAAGAATAAATGACAAAAAAGAAAGCAAACTGAAACCTGTGGTATCCACAATTTCCTTAAAACAGATTCGCCACCTCACCAATGGGTGCTGGAGGAAGGTCAGAGTCTGTCTCCCAAGATATGACAGTTGAAACCAGCTACTGTAAAAGCACATTCTGAGTAGTTTTGACAAACGAACTAACAGTAGCACTCTCTCACTAACAAGAACCAAAGAAGGGGCTAGCAAAAAGAAGATGAAAAAATTTCTTTGGTGTAAAACAACCATCTCCAACTTCATGGCAAAAAGAAACCACAAATTTTTCATCTCAAAAATCCTCTCTAAATCATGCTTTCAATTTGGAGGGGAAATGCCTCTATTTATACAAATAAGGGAGTCCTTAACCATGAGGGCTATCATTAACCCTTAGCATCAATATTCATCAACTCTAACCATTAGGGCTAGAGTTGCAAAAGTTAAAAACTTATGGCCACTGATATGGTCTTCAACTCTATCATCAAAAGATGAAAGTTACAAAAGTCTAAGACTGCCATATGCTTAATATATACAAATAAATATGTATATAATGATGTTTGAATAATTCAAACAAATGGGTCGCAAAACAAATATGGGTGTTGGGTCATAACCCGATCAAAGCCCAATTTCAAACACATGCACAAGCTAAACCCAACACAGCCCAGCCCAACCCATACTCAAGACTAGGTCCAAGTCCAAACCCAGAACATGCACAAGCACAAGCCAAGGCCCATTTTTATTGATGCCCACTTTATGAGACAATTCTCATTCACAACTTAATGGTTTCGGGTCATTTTTTTCGTGTTGTAACCTTCTCACTTAAGAGATCAAAATCACTTAGACCTACCTCAATCTACAATTGGGTCCCACTTTTATTTCACATTAAAGTTGTTGAAAAACTATTATTTTCCAACAATCCCTCACATGAATAAGATTGGCCGAATAAAGAAAAAAGGAGATACAACAAAGACTCGATGAGAGAGCACCACGGAAAATTCCTGCATCGGATAAGGTAACTTTTGGCTTTGAACTTGTCCTAGTGAAAGCTCATCGGATTTACTAGCTAACTAGTGAACGTGATGTCTTGAACTGTTCCGTCGTTTGTATAAACCAAGACAACATACTTCACACAGAAATTCTCCTACCATAGTTCAGTTCTTACTGTTGTGTCTTGTTTGGCCCTGGAACACTTGCTTGGTTTAGTGAATGCTTTTAAAGTATTCAGCCTTGTCAAGTCTCCTACCATTGTTCAATTCTCCTATCATAGGTAACCTTTTTTAAGATATCATGCTATACCATGCTTGACTCATCAATGCATACAAGTCATTAAAAGCATCAACTTAACCTTCCACCCCACAAGGTATCATTGTATGTAAGAATGGGCAAGAGGATT